AATTTTATTTTATTTTATTTTAAATAAAAAATTACGAATTTTTTTTTTAAAAAAAAACTCAACATGTAAAACGCTGTCTCGGACAGCGTATTACTCGTTGAATATTTTTTTAAAAAAATCAGGGTATAAAATGCTGTCTTACTCTGAAATCTTAATTTGGTAAATAGTTTTGTCACGAGTCCACTTTGCAAAATACTTTGATAATAAAGTTTAGTTTGCAAAAAAAAGCTCCTTCTAACCCTTTGTTATCACTGCCAACAAAAAAAAAGTGTTTTTCCGTACGTCCGTACACCAACAATTATATGATTATTGGTGTTAACAAAAAAAAAAAAACAATTATATGATTATCATCCAAATGATATCAAGACTCCAGCAACCACAGTCGTCCACGTAGTCAATTCAATCTTATCCATTTCACTCTAAAAACACACTCCAATATAAAATTTGCCAATACCAAAAGAATTGAGGGAGGGAAAAAAAACCCACAGCAAATCTATAACTATAATTAAAGTAAAAACCTACATCACCTTTGTACATGTTATTTTTTCATAAGAAAATTTCCCTCCAAATTGCTTATGTCATTTTTTTCTTTCCTATTTTTTTGTCTTTCCAAATTTAAGATTGGAAAAATAATTCTTGATAAATATTTAAATGATAATGCTATATGTAGTCCTAAGGGCTATATATAAGCATTAAATATATTCTTGAAAATTGTATAAAATTATGAATTCATGACAAAAACACGAGTAAATCAGTGTAATTAGTATTTATATTTTTATGATTTTCTAAATTTATACGATTTTCTAGTGTGTATTTAATGTTTATATGTAGCCCTAAGGGATATGTATAACATTTTCCATAATTAAAAGTGTAAAACATTAATCAGCCAAAAGTATTAATGAATATTCTCTTTCCAAAAACCCTCATTTTGTGAATAATTAATTATTTATATGGAGTACTTTGTTTTATTGATTACAGAGTATTATTTTTATTAAATTGTGCATTGTACGAGTTTTAATCTAGTTTGTAATAAGTGTAACCCCTTTGTACAGACTTCAGCCGAGTATGGACCACTTTTACTCATTCTGTTACGTATTAATTGCAACACTTTCTTTTTACCTCCGTTTTATATTAATTGCAATACTTCTATATTTGGAAAGAACCCACCATTATTTTATAATTTCTCTCCCACTAACCCCACTTTTATAAATATTTTATTATTTCTCTTTCCTATCAACCTCACTTATTACTACTTTTTTTTATTATTATTTCTCTCTCATACTAACAATACTTTGGATTTGTTTGGTTGCCTAACAAATTCATGGAAAGTTTGTTTTCCTAGGAAATAGATATATGTATACTTGTTTGGTTGACAATAATGTAGGAAGTGAGACTTCCTTGGAACTTCTACTTCCCACAAAATGGGGGAATTAATTTACCTAGCCCCCCCTAGGTAAATGAAACTTCCCATGGAAAGTAGAAATTCCCACATCCAACCAAACAACATTTGGCAATTTCTAGGAATTACATTTTCATGGGCATTGAGTTTTCATGGGAATTTCCACTTCCTACATACAACCAAACAAGCCCTTTATATTATAAAAAAATATATTTTAAGCCCCAACCTATAAATTTTCTTAAAATTTGTGAACACTCGAATGTTGCGATTAATACAAAATGAAGGGAGTAGCTTATATGTCAATATAATTTTTGCTAAGATATTTATAACGTTGCTTCAAAAAAAAAAAAAAAAAAAAAAAAAAAAAAAAAAAAAAAAAAAAAAAAAGATATTTATAACGTGCCTACAACTCTAAGTAATAATTGTAGCCTTGTAGGACCCCGGCCGAGTATGGACCTCATTTATTTGATGGGCCAGCCGAGTATGAGTCTTATTTCTTGATCACTATTTTAAGAGCTAATGAGCTATGAAACCAAAAGTTTTTCTGTCTTCAATATCGCATATTCGCATTCATGAGAGGTACTATTAGAAAATAAAATTTACAATATACTCTAATAAAATAGAATTAATTTTTTATTTAACCATGATAAACGTTGGATATTTTAACTAAAAATAATTAATTTTAATTCATTTTTAACTTAATGTATTTAATTTTTAAATTTAAATTATAAATAAAATCTTCTATAATAAATTACTGTTTTATTTGCATGTTTTTACTCATAAAATTTTGAATATCATTATTATGAGATTTTGTAACTTCCAATTTAATATTTGAAAGTTACTAAAGTATAATTGGTTTTTAAAGCCAAAATCAAAAACTCCTTAACGATTGATATATACTCACCAATTTATTACAACAATGCAAGTAATGACTATTGTTTTGCATGCAACGTTACAATTTCTTACAGAATTGAGATTTCTTTTATTTGACTTTGATCACATATCGATGATGGTGATTTAAAATTGAATTTTAGTTTTTATATTTGAGTGGAGGTTACAACTTACAAGTTGACTATTGGAGTTACAAAGTTTTTCTGAATTTGTTTTATAACATTTTTGCTTTGATGGTTATATACTTATATATATATATGTAGCATAAGCTATAGTGGACTGATATACATATACTACTATACTATACATTCCCCACATACTTGGATAATATACAAAAGTCGGGTATTTTGGTTATTACATAAGTTTCTACTCCTTAATAAGCAAATTAGGGAGTGTATAAGTTGGGGTTTTATCCTGGGGACGACACGCCGTTTACTCCCTGCGATTTGTATTGGGGGGTGTGGATCGTCTTGAGAAGAGCTGAAAGTTATTCGCGACTCACCCAACTAAAATTCCAGATTATTATTTACCTTATATTTCTTTTATTTTTCTATTTTTCCCTTATATTATTTCCAACAATAAAGATGAGTCAGATTTAATGACAATACAACATAATCCTCATTTATTTAAATCATGCAACCTTTTTTAAGGGTGTCAATTATTCTAGAGCGCACACAAGAAAGTAATATTGATTAATTTTTTTTACCACTTTACAAGCAAACCAATGATAAAAGGCACGAATAAATGGGTTCAACTCCTCGCTCAATTTGTAAGACCCGATTGAATTCGATTAGATATAGTCGAAACAAATTTGAGTTAAAACTCTTTTTACTTGAAACGATCAATATTTATCTTTTTCCTTTTTTCCCTTCTTCTTCTTTTTCGAGAGCTCTTGTTAAAAGAGTTTTTAATTAATAATATAGTTAAATTCCTTGAATATATATATTCACACTAGTATATTAGGAGATTTATTCAAATAAGTAAGGGGGTTCATTATCCAATTTGATATGGTTTAGTATACAAAAATAAATTAAACTGCGTAAAGAGCCAATCACATTATAAATTACTCAAGTCAATAACTCTCAATATATTCTTTGAAATTTTTTAAAATCAAACCAAAACAATGTTTGAATAAAATCCCTGAGAAAACATCCAACGAAATCAATTGCACAATAAAAGAGGGTTTTGTTTATAATTTGGTGTCATTTAGACTGCATTTAAACACCCCAACAAACGATGGTCAATTCAGAAGAAAATTTAAGGACAAATTAGAAGCAAAAAAAATCATTCATTATTATAGATGACTATTCAATGGCTACATAAAAATTGTGGCCACTACATTAATTTTTAATCTAGACCCTTTATATTTAAGGAGGAAATCTTATCCATTTATTTATTTGACTTTTTTTTTTAATCTAAAGCAAAAAATAGTCTTATTAAGAACTACTTTTACCCTCCAAAAAAAAAAAAAAAAAACTGCTGCTTCTCCATTGATGTACTTCTTATAAGTTCAGATTTTCGCAGGTCCCTCTACAAACTTTTCTTTCCATAAGATATTGGGAATTAATTTCGATACTTTTCATAGGAGATTGGGAATTAATTTCCATACACCTAGTATAATAACATAAGGTGTTGTATTTATATAATCAAACAGCAAATACGGAATAATTAAACACGGTAGCATTAGATTACAAATTATGAAAAAGATAAAGTACAAAGAAGATGATTAATGGTAGAATTCGACGAATGAGGTTTTGATTTCTGTTATATATGATCATTGATTCTTTAAAGGCAAAATTTCTCGGTGTATTATGGAGCAGTATGATTATCTAGTAGTGTAGAGAGGAAGGAGATAAAGCAACTAATTTTAATATAATAAATAAAAAATTTCATCAAGTCAATTTAATGAATGATGTTGATTTAATATTGACAAATGTACGGCCATGATTTAAAAAATTACAGTGGCTATAAAATTTATGTAACCATTGTAAAACTGTCCTATAATTACTACGTATTAAAGAAAAATTGAATTAGAAAACTGTCAATTGAAAAAAAGAAAATTAATAGAAGCTAGCATTACCATCACTACTTACAAATTTATGTTCCTAAAAAGACATGTGAAGTTTAATGCGAAAAAGACTTGGTCCAAAACCAATGAATAATCATTTTTATTTATGTAAAATTCAGTGTTAATTTGATTGTTTTCTTAGTTAGATTAATAGTAGTATTAATGTCAAATTTGAGTATTTGACTACATATTTCCTACCTTGCATAGTTACATACTTACATGTCATGTTCGCTATTAATTAGTGCCGGACAAGCCTTCTAGCCCTTTGTTTTTATCGTTGCCAAAAAAAGAAAAAAAGTCATTTTTTGTACGTCCCTACACTAACAATTATATGATTACTCTCTTCGTTTTTTTTTTAAAATGCATCACTTCAGATTTTGCACTATTTATATGTTACTTTTGACTTAATTTTTTACTACTATATATTTTATTAACGTGATAATGTAATATATTGTTGGATTTGTTACAATGTCTACTTTCATAATATAATTTTTATTTATTTATAATTTAAGATATTATTGATTAAAGTTGTATCTCGACAAGTGTGAAAACTCAAATGACGTATTAAAAAAAAAGCAATCACAGTCCACATAGTGAATTTAATCTAATCCATTTCACTCTATAAATAGAAGAGTATTAAAAACCCACTCCAATATAAAATTTGCCAATACCAAAAAAATTGAGGGAGGGTAAAAAAACCACAACAAATATACTGTATTCCAAGTTTGAAGAAAAATGGCAGGATTACCGAGACTTATCACGTTGAGGGGAAACCGTTTCTTCCAGTATGAAACGGAAGAAGGGGAATTACACGCGACCGTGCGAAATACATCTGATACGATAATTAGTGAGAACAACTTCACCTTGTTTGAAGTGGTGAGTTCAAGGGTTCAGGGTATGGTCCACATCAAAAGTCGCTTCAATAACAGGTACTTGCGGCTCAACCCAACCGGAGTGTATATTTACGCCACTGCAGACGAGCTCGAGGAAGACCGTGCCAAACGGTCTTGCACTTTGTTCAGGGTTGTCGTCTCCGGCTACAACGTGCGTTTCTTCCACCAGTCCGATAATGTTGAGCGGGGTGTGATATATTATCAAAATGGTGTCCTCGGAGTCCAGGGTAATGTTCTTTCACTTCACATTATTTATTATTATTATTACATGGCCGAATATTGGGGTGTGCACAGGCACCGGGCCTCAATAATAAAGGCCCAAATTTTTAATGGCCCGCTTTTTTTGTGTGTGTGAGATATTATTACTGACATACAACCGGATCTTTTAATCATCTTCATAATTAATACTTTCTTTTTCTTTAATTTATTACCTTGACTTCTTAAAAGACGCTTAATTATTCATTCAATTTTGATTCTAACGCCAATTTATGTCTCCAGATTTAACCTTCCTTCTTCAATTCTCTCAATATTTTTTTTTCTTCCTTAAATTTTTCATTTAATTATCAGTCTTTACCAAATTTTTTTCAATCAATTCCATTATTTTTCCTTTTTCCACGAAACTTCAATTACATATGGGTATTCAAAACGTTTTCCCCATATTTACACTGATCTACCGTAGCAACGGGAGTGAATAAATAATTTTCAATTTTGTAGATCTTTTTTTAAAACTGTTGAATTTTTTTTCCTTTTATGTCTTTTGAAATTTGATACTTTTTATCAAAATTACATCAGTATGGTTCAATGGTTGTAAATTGGTGAGTCCTTTGTCTTTCACTCTTTTTCTATATTTTGGGACGAAGTTTGATAATTTGATTAATTTTGCTGCAATGCTACTATGCTAGTACTACTGCAGTCTGCCGACATCTAACCTTTTATTAGTGTGTGTGTGTTTTTTTTTTTTTTTAAATTTTTTTTATCATGTTTTATTAAGGTTGAATTAAGAAAGGAATGGTGAAGGTTTGAGGATGGTATGGCTAAATTCAATTTGATATGTCATATGATGCATGTGTTTTTGTTTTAATCAAAGTTGCATTGAGTTATTACTTAACTAGCCTTCTGGCCATAGTGTACAATATAAAATTTTATTTTATAATATGTTTTAATTGGAAAATGAATAGTCTATAAAGGAGAAGAAGGGTTGAAAATTGAATGTAATTGTAGAAGATATTAAGTTGGAGGAAAGTGAATCAAATAACATTCATACATGTATTGAATTAAAGCTAGTGGCTTTTTTTTTTTTTTTTTTTTTTTTTTTTTCATATAAGAAAGGGGATTAATTAATGAAAAGGTGAGGTGACATGTGACATTGGTGAAAAATAAAGTTTACACGTGGCATGATGATGGGCATGATGGTTTGTTTTTTTAAATACTAAGTATAGATAAATAAAAAACCGAATTTTGTGGTTATCAAAATTTATCGAAAATTTTAATTCTTAGCTTATAAACATTTAAGTTAGTATAAATTATATCCTCAAAAAAAAAAAGGTTAGTATAAATTATAAATATTATAGTATATAGGGCTCAAATTAAATTTTAGAACAGGGCCCCAAAATCTCCGAGACAGCCCTGTATTATTAATTTACTAGATGAAAGCCCGTGCGATACACAAGTTTTCATACATTTATCTCAACAAAAAGATATTTCCTATATACTCTAAGGGGTTTTTTTTTTTTTTTTTTATTATTATAATTATTTGATTTATGTTACAATTTAATAATTTCAGACAAAAAAAAAAAGCAAATAATAATTTAATTAAAATGATATTGCCAATTACAAAAGTATAATTTTTTAAATGTAATTTATAATGCGACTTAATTTATTGTTGTTTTGTATTTTATTCGTTGTTGTTTATTATATACTTATATGACAATAATATGATATCTTTAAAAAAAAAAATTGTAAATATGATATTTCATTGATTACATATTAGGATAAAATCTTTAATGTGAAAAGATAATAATTTTTTATTTTTAAAATAATTTAAACCCTAAATCATTATTCGTTGCTTTTTACACTTGAAATTAAACTCTTAAATCTATATATCATTTTGTATATTTCTTGTGATCTCTAACAAATTATCTATCTTTTCAAATTTTTAGACATAAAATGTTTAAAGAAGGTAAAGTTTTTTTTATTGCGTTATAAGTTTTAATTTTTTTTTATGAAAAAAAACATCTTATTAATCGGGTATTTAGATAAAATCATTAATTTCATAAGATAATTTTTACTTTTTTTTTAATAATTTAAATCCTAATATCCCACGGTTTTTTATACATAAAATCTCATAATAATTTTTGTAATTAGATCATACTCATAATATTTTTGAACATTAAAAATAATAGTTATTAGATGTAATATTTCGATGTAAAAAAATTTGTATTAAAATTTTTTTTTGATAGGATCACCAACTTTGTTCACACTGATATCTCTTCCATCTAATAAAGTGGATAAATAGAACATGTTAGCAAAAATAAAATTTATATAAAATTAATCTTTATAGTCTATAAAATAAATTAAAATATTTACCAGAACGTGAATAATTGTTGTGAAATTAATCTAAAAATTTTAATTATACAAAATTAAATTTATGCATTGGAATTTTTTCATCGTCCCCAATTGCACAAACAATAGTATTTTGGAAAATTGAATTATTATTTTGTTGTCGCTGACAATGCGTGCGATATTGTTTCTTATTTGAAACGACTGAAAAGTATCTAATGGAGTAAATTTTTCCTTCAATCAATTTTGAACAAAATTGTAGAACAAAGTTGACTTTAATTGAGGCATGAACGTAATCACCCTGTAATTAAAAATAAAAAATTAAGTTAAATTTATGACTTAATTAAGCTAGCTAAATCACAAAAAAATTTGTTTTAATCATAAAATTAATTGATAAAAACTAAAAGGTTCATTAAAAGATTTAATAAATGTAAACGATTAATAAAGATATAATAAATCCTCATCCAATAGGATCATCAGGCGAGAAACTCGTACTTTGATATTCCAAAGATTTTTGCTCGAATATAATTCTCTGATTAAATTAAATCTGCATGTAAAAACAAAATTCAGTAAACAAAACATAAACATATAATCATTAAGTATCCCAAATAAACACAATTTAAGCAATAATCACAAATATACATTTAAACATGGGTTTTAAAAATTAGGCTAAGAATTACCCAGACATTGGTGACCTAATAAAATTGACCAAAATTAATGACACAAAATTTGCTTGGTTTGGTTTTGTATTGATACGAAATTTTGTTGGTGTCATATGATGCGTCAATTTATAATGGTAAATATCATAAATTTTAATTTAATTATAATTAACGAATAATTTTTATTTCTTATCATAAATACTATCAAAATTTATCTTATAATAGTAGGTATATAAATCCTATATATAAAGATGATTATTTTAAAAAATAATTTTTAGTTTTTTAAATAAATTAAATCCTAATAAATCAATATTCGTTGTTTTTACTTACGTGACAAAATTCTTAGATCTCATTCGTCACTTTTGTTTAGGTGGCAAACGGATTTTTTAATTTCAAAATAAAATAGAAATCTAATTTTTAATTGGTCGAAAATATACCTTTGCTTTTGTGGCACGCGGAATGCTCTCCAAAAATGCCTACTTTATTTATATAATAATATATATTAGATTAGATTTATTTTTAAAAAATATTATGCATGTTGTGAGCAATAATTAATACATGGGTTGTGGCATGCATGGATGAATGACGCAACAGCAGGTATCCATACATATAGCTTGTTATTTAGGGACATGACCGACTTTGTAATCTTGCCGAAGCACGTAATGTTCAAAGGGAATGATGGGAATTACTTAAGAGCACGTAAAAATAGAAATCTGGAGTTCGTTGCCAACGATCCAACGGATCCAAGAGTGCACCACATTGCAACGGTTTCACCTCTTAGTCCAAGTTTCAGCCTACTGTCCCCCAGATTCAATCTGTACTGGGAGAGGATTAATGGTGATTGGCTCCAATGCAACTCGAGCAGACCATTCATCGTGAATACGGCCTTCCGCCCAGTGAGGCAGGGTTTTGGTAGCCAAAACAACACCATAGCTCTGTTGAATACGAATAACAACAGGTACTGTGAGAGATGGACCAGCGGGGGGAACGCTGGTCGTATTCGAGCTTCCTCCTCGACTGTCCCGCCTACTGCGGTGCTCACAGTGGAGGAGGCAGTCCGGGATCGAGAAATCTCTGACATCAGGTATCTATGCTACTCTCTTCGTCCCTCAATAAGTTTAGCTATTTCTGTCATCAATATTTTTTTTTATTAATATGTAATTAAATATAATTATGGCCGAAGATGTGCACCGGAGAACATGTAAAAAAAAATGAAATTAATGAATGGAAGGAGTAAATAATAATCTTCTTAAATACTCATATTTAACTCCAACAACGTTGTTAGTCTTGATTTTGAAAGATAATGATTGGTATATATTTGGATTATATATGAGTGGGAATTTCAGAATCTGGACTTACTTGATCAACTAATAACAATAAAAGATCATATCCGCAAAAGAGGATGTATTGATTGATGAAGAACGGAGGAAGTATATCCGAATTTATTTTTTCATATTGAATAAAAAACCTAGCTATGATACGTTCATTTACTATGATTATCATATTCATGCATTATTTTTTCCATATAATGACTTATATTTATTGAATAAGATATAGTGGATGTAAACTACTTTAAATGATTTTTTTCTTGATGGTTGCGTACCCAAGTTTTGGGATCAAATCACGTCTACATCATATAGATAGATAGGTACGTAGTTTTTCTTTTCTTTTAAAAAGAAAAAAAGCGCTTCCCAAATAAAAGTGCTAAAATGTTGATACAGGTATCGTTTAGAGGATGCACGCATCTACAATATGGTTCCTCTACAGGCCGTAAGCCAAACTGTGTTTAACTATGGCAATCATGATGAGAGACAAGAGGTGAAATTCACCTACAGAGAGGTGATAGAGGAGAAGTTCAGCTCGTCACATTCGTGGAAACTGTCGGTCAAGGCTACCATCAGGGTTAGATTGATCCCAGTGATACTTCAGGGGAAACTGACTACAACTGCTAGCTACGGAGGTAATTATTGAATGACCCGATCACCATATAAAAAAATGGGTTCTCAATTAACCAACTCAAATTGGTCATGTTTTGAAATTTCTTTTAAAAAACTTTTATCTTTACTTTCGAATTTGTCTTTAAAATCGACCATTTGATCCACATAAATTTTACGAGTAATAATTTCTATTTGACTGTATCAAATATGACTATATTTTTTCTGCATCTTCCACGACAGGTAGTGTTGAATGGTCCAAAATGAAAAGAATTGAGAGAACAGTAACTGGCTCCACAACCGCTACAGTACCAGCAAGGAGTTCTAGAAGGGTGACCTTGATCGTTGGACAGGGTTCCATGGACGTCCCTTACTCTTACAGACAAAGTGACATCCTTATGGATGGAACCTTTGAGGAAAAGACTATGCACGATGGTCTTTTCTCGGGTCTCAACACCTTTGAATTCCAATATACTCTCGAAGAACCTGAAAGCCTTCCTCGTAGTGCTAGGCCGCCAATAGGCCATGATGACATTGTCATCGTGCCAGGTGAAACCATGGACCTCCCTAGAATGGCCATCTCGCGTGGAGTCGATGAAGTAGAAGTGGAAGGAAAAGAGGAGGAACTAGTTCCAATGGAACAAGATTGTGGAGAAGAAGGAAAGGAGGAACCAGTTCCCCTGCCAGTGTCTTCCAAGCTTTAGTTACTTACATACACTATGTGTTCTATTTTACATTTTGTCTTTTTAAGGATGAATAATAATAATAATAATAATAATAATAATGATGATGTGAGTTTTCCTATAACACACATATTGTGTTTGTATTATGGTTGTACTTTGCTTGTATTATTGGTTTTCTCCTTTATTCTCTGCATGCTATATATCAAGATCTTTCTCTAAACAATAACCTTTTGCATTGACTAAAGCTTTTTTTTCTTTTTTTTTTTGAAACAGCATTGACTAAAGCTTAAATAAGTTATTAACAATGAAAAGTTATTCATTCTTATGCTTTTGGTAATAGGCTTCCGTTTATGGCTCGATGAAGAAGCTTTAGCTAGCAGAGGATGGCCAGTTGATATTTCTTACATTTCTACATAATATAAGTGTACCATCTTCACCTTATTCAGCTTATCATATTATTAATTTAACTCTAGATATTTTTTTTTTATTATATGTAACATGCAAGGAAAATGTCCTTTTTTTCTTGATTACAATTTCCGTTACCGTAAGCCTTATTGCTCGCCTATCTTCTTGAACAGCTACTAGAACCCTCTTCTATATGACGTTGTTCACCGATGGAATCGAGGTATTGGTGGTGGTATTAAACTTCCTGTTCATCGACTCAATGTTTATGCTGTTGCTATCAGATTCAATTCGGATATCAACGTCGGCCTATGCCCCTCCGACTCAATGTTATGACGACTTGCTGGGTCATTTGAAATGCTCGAAGCGATTGGCCATGGCTGGAGACCCTGTTACGACTAATAAATTTATGGAGTATATTAATAAGATTCGAGCTACAAAACTACACGTGAGGCTGCAGTATGGTTTCCCCCTGTCAAAAGTCTCGGCAGATCCCTCTTATGCAAGGTTGGGTGATGATCAATGTAAATGCTGCTATTTTGCAGGAGATTGGCACAGGTTATGGTGTCTGTATTAATGAGAAGGGAAAAGCTATAAGTACATGAGTAAAATCACATTATAGTGAAAATTGTGATTGATGTAATAACAATCAAAGAAACAACGCTATACTCCGTACTTTATTATGTGGCATTTGTAATAGTTGCTATAGACTTGTATTGTTTGTACTTGAATTGATAACTTATCTGAATAATTCATTACAACGTTTTGATCGAGAATGATAAAAAATATATCACTCTTTGAGATTTTATCAACATTTATTGTAGTCTAGTTGTTTGTGATTGATATAATAATAACAATCAAAGCTAAGAAATAACACAACCTTAAGAATATTGTAAAGATAATGAATGTTGGCTTAATTTCACTAATCACCAAGAACACAATATTTATAATACAGGCTCATACGTTTCCTAAGCCTAGTCAAACGTCAACAACTAGCCAAGGAAACAAGATAAATATGGGAAAAATATATCCTAGAGAATCAAATATTCTCCAAATCAAATATATATGCTTCTAAATATCTTCCAAATTATATCTTAATACCCTCCCTCAAGTTGGAGCATGAGATTCAAAAATGCCCAACTTGGATAGAAGATAATCAAACTGCGCCTTCCCAAGAGCTTTTGTGAATATATCTGCCAACTATGACGAAGTGGACTCATGTGACGGTGAAATCAATCCTTCAATTATCGCATCACGAACAAAGTGACAATCAACTTCTATGTGCTTCGTTCACTCATGAAACACTGGATTCTTAGCAATATGCAACACAGACTCACTATCACAGAACAATTTAATCGCTTTAGGGTGTTGGACACCCAAACTCAACAACAAACCTTTTAGCCACTTCAATTCACAAGTGTGCACTGCCAAAGACCTGTACTCCGCTGAAGCAAAAGATTTAGAAACTGTATGTTGTTTTTTCGTTTTCCAAAAAATCGGTGATTGCCCAAGAAACACTAGCCATCCTGTCAATGAACAGCGAGTAAGAGGACATGCCGCCCAATCTAAGTCACACCATCCTTCCAATGTGAGCTCACTGTCGGAACGCAACAATATGCTTTGACTTGGAGTCCTTTTCAAGTATCGAACCACTCGCAGAGCAGCTTCCCAATGTTCTATACGAGGGGCCTGCATGAATTGTGAAAGAATATGAACTGAATAGGATAAGTCCGGTCGAGTGATCGCAAGATATATAAGCCGGCTCACAAGGCGGCGATAGGCTTCAGGATCTTATAGAAATTCGCCATTAGCATGCGCAAGTCTAAGATTTTGTTCAATAGGGAACCCACTTGGCTTTGCTCCCAATAAACCTGTTTCATAAATAATATCTAGAGTGTACTTTCTTTGACACAAAAACAATCCGAACGAACTTCGAGCCACCTCGATGCCCAAAAAATATTTAAGAGGTCCAAGATCTTTCATCTTGAAGCAGTCACTAAGACATGCTTTGAAAACCTTAAGTGTAGCGGAATCATTCCCAAAAATAATAAGATCATCCACATAAACTAAGACATTAATTTGAGTTTTGCAATTAGTCTATGTGAATAAAGAATAATCGGATTGGAGAAAGCCTTACCCTTTCAAAGCCGACACCAATTTTGCAAACCAACACCTAGGAGCTTTTTTCAAGCCATATAATGACTTGTGAAACCTACAAACCAAGGAAGGATCCGAGCTTTCAAATCCGGGGGGCAATTTCATGTAGACCTCTTCTTCTAGATCACCATGAAAAAAGGCATTATGAAAATCCATTCGATTAACCCAATTTGATTGGAAGTCGGATTCCGTATGGATTCAATCTTCCAAAAACCATTGCTGAGCGACAGTACCATCGCGTCGCAATAAACCTGTCGCGCCGCGATGGAACCTGTTTACTCTGACTCTTTTTCTGATCTTTGACCCTCGTTTTTCCTTATAAATAGAGGTCGTATCACCCCGTTTTCATTCACCATCAATCATCATCTCTTTCCCCTCTCTCTCTAAGCTATAAGCTTATTCTCTCTCTTTTTCTTTCTAGTCTTAGCCTAAACACATCCCAATACCTTCTTGATATCATACACCATACCTCCATCACGAGCTTCGAATACTCCAATCCAATCTCAAAGTTGCCTTCGACCTCGACGTGAAAGGTTGATACTCCAATCCCAATTTGATTTGTTTTATTTAATCTTTCTTGAAGTTACTAACGTGTGTATTGTTTTGAAATTAAGAAAGAGATACGAGACATCAAAGTAAGTAATTCGATTACTTAATTATTCTTTTGTTATAGAAATCATGTTAGGATGTTGACTTTGGTTCCTAGTATTATGTTTAGGGTGTTAATTAATATTTCTAATATCATATTTCTAGTATCATGTTTAGGATAAAGCTTTGATCTTTATTATTAGTGGCATGCTAGGATTTGTTATTAATCCATTTAATATCATGCCTAAGATCTTGCTACTAATCATATTTTGATGATAATATTATCATGATGATTGTTGTGTTAATTATTATACATTGCTTGATTATTCATGATTGATTGTTATTGCTTGATTACGCCCTTTTTTGCAGGTTTAAAGGGAATTAGTACTTGAAATCACATCTAATAAGATAATTAATAATTTGATTTAGGCTAATATGATTTTAATTCAAGTGATCACCAATAATAGATTTATTTGTGCATTAATAATCAACCAACGTAGATTAAATATGCTTAGGATTAATTTGATGAATGTATGTTGATCAGAATGCGCACATGAATATCATAAGAATTAAGTAGATGCCTATTTAGGGTGGGTTCAATCTCTTTTAGGTTGGATTCGTACCATCATCCCCGAATATCCATTCATGGTTCTGGACCACTATGGAGTTAGCGATCTCCGTGATCGTGAATAGGGTGTAAACTTCACACCCGTGAACGGTTTACAAGTTCCTAAAACTTGTTGGCAACTCTTTTATCTATGGCTTCCTTCCCTTTGGACGCCACCATGTTTAAATGCATGATCACAGTGGGGCTCAAGGTTGATGTTTGAAAAATTCCCTACAGTTTTTTAGCGACTCCACTGGGGAGGATTCCTATTTTGATTCCTAAAATTTATTTTGGCAGTCGACTTAAAATGAGTGGATGAGACTTGAAAGATTTTAGATATTCATGTGCGTAATTTTGATTAACATTGTGGCATAAGCATAAAAAGGTCCGCATTGGAAAGACTATCCGAAATGCGTAAAAAACATAGGATTTTTACACTTAGGAAAAGCCGGAAATATATTTCACAATTAGAATCGAAAAGATACAGTGAAAATCGAAAAATCCGTAGAGCACAGAAAACTGCCGCGACGCGCAGTAAATGTCGCGAGACGACAGGATCCATCGCCATGCGACAGCTTTATCGCGACGCGATAAAGCTATCCCTGTGCGATAGCTCCTGTTTTTTCGTGCCGAGTTCTCACGACATCGAGCCAGGAGTCTGCCTTCTTGTTTTGACCAATTCTAGTATTGTCTCGACGATTCTACTACCTGATTGAGTTTTTCCGACTTTTCTGAACCCATATGTGTTCTACATATGGTCTTAGCCTCTTGGAATTCACGCTCCATCTACCCAATCGAATGCTCCGTGCAACGACGGGTACATCCGAGTTTGTGAATTCACCAAACCATGGAAGCAAGTCTAACTTGCCGGGTCTCATCCATCTGCGCCAACCCTTCCAAAGGTAAGGCTTCCGTGCCATGCATCCAGACTCATAACCATGGAACCTCTTTTTATTACCATAATCCTTGAACTTTAGAGAACTAGAGCCATGGTTAGGTTGCAAACTCATTGCATCATGTTGTGACTATTTGACTACTTGTGCATTCCTTGCTTGTGCATACCTTACTTGTGATGAACTAAACTCTTGTGTTGACTTGTGTTTGTAAATAAAGTTTAAACAAACTAATCATTGACTAAAAGGACTTTTCTTAATTAATTGGTTAATCAATTTGAATTAATAAAGTCTAAATATACTTGACTTAGTGAGACTATAGGCTTATACCTTTGAAAGAATTACCAAAAACAAATTAAACTGACGCTCCAATTTTGGCGCGGAAGTTTGGTTTGTGCCGCAGAACGCCAGCTTTATCGCGACGCGATAGTCATATCACGCTCGATGGAGCCAGCGCGCCGCGATGGTTCGATCTTTAATTTCCGAGTCTTCACGTCGAGTCTAAATTTCATGATTAATTAATTTAATGTTTAACAGAGGTCCTAACCTAGTCCTTGTTTGAGTCTAATCACATAT